CTCACCTGACGATCTGTATCTGAGGTGCGTCAGCTGTGATCTGAGGCAAGCGTTAGTCTGAGGCACAACATATATATATGTAGATAATAAAGAATCAATATGTATAAATAATAAAAAACCAATATGTATAAATAATAAAGAATCAATATACGTAAATAATAAAGAATCAATATATATATTTGTTTAATATCATTATCAGTTTGTTGAAGAATGAAATATTATAATGCTATTAACTGAATTTCCAAGTTTCGCATAACCGAACCATCGACACTATTGTACAGATTACAATAATTAATATTATTTTATTATATTATTTTATAAGTTGTATGCACTATACGATTAAAAATAATAGTATAAGATATATAACCAAACCTAGTGTATAACTAACGTACAACTATAATGAGAATGTATTAGCACCCCATAAAGTTACTTTCCCATCCCAGCCGCAACTAGCAATAATTCCATTCAACAAAGGATGCCAACATACATCAGTACAGGCTCCCAGATGTGCACCTTCTATTACTTTTACAACTTTCGATGATGACCACTCATAAAAGAATATGCCACCATTTGCATCTCCTGAAGCCAAAAATCTACCTTGCTCAGGTTCTGGTGAAAAGTTACAACGGATAGGATAACCGTTCACAAGATGGCCTTCAAAGCGCTGTTATTGATGAAAAAAAAAACGGTGCTTTTTAGATTCAATAAATTTCATTTATTCTTCTAAATTAATTATATAAGCTTGAAAATCATAACAACCTTCCTCTTATCTAATTTCCATGGCTTTTCACCACCAAAAATGGCAATATAATTTCCATTTGATTGTGCAACAAAGTGCTTATGAAACGGATGGAATCGAAGTGCAGTACAAGAAAATGCTTCTTGATAAATTTGATTAGATATTGCCGTCATCTGTTTTTTTTTTAAAAGGTATAAGTTGAAATACTAATAATTCCGATTTAGAGATAAATAATATATATATGATAATTACAGAGTCAATTTCCCAAACCATAATATTTTTATCAGACGCGTTTCTGACCACGTAATCGGAACAAGTAAGAATGTTATCCCCATTAGGGAAAAATTCAATGTCATTAACACTACCAAAAAATTTTCTAGATTCCTTTATGACTTTATTTGTACGCAAATCCCATGATCGTATTCCATCTTGTAACATTCCTGATACGAAAATATTTGGTTGTGTAGGGTGATAGCGAAGGGCAGTAACAACTTGTGGATGAGGAAACGTCTAATTATTTAATTATACATTGATTATATAATATAATTACAAATTCAAACATAAAAACGGAATGAATTATTTAATTATATGTTTATTATAATATAATAATAATTACAAATTAAAACATAAAAACGGAATGAATTATCTCACCTGTATAGTGACTCCAGTTTCAATATCAAATATCTTTGCAGTTTTATCATATCCACCAGAAAGTATATTATTAAAGTTATTATTCCATTGAATATCCTTCACAGCTCCTATTATTAATAAAACTATGTTATATGTTTGTCATTAAAAGATCTGCATAATACTATTTATTACCATCATGTTTTATAACTCGAACGCACTTCTTTGTTCTAAAAAAACATCCCAAATTCTGACTGTACAATCCATAGATGCAGATGCCAATACTTGTCCTTGATTATTAAAATTTATTAACATTAAACATTCTTTCATCGTAATTAACACGTTTAAATGTTTAAATCCATTACTCACCAAAAGAACCACACCATAATAAAGAATTCACACCCTTAGTATGCTCTTTTGGAAAAGATATTATTTTCCGTCTCGGAATAATGCTAGATCTGATATGTTCATGTTCATTCTCCAATGCGGAACGAATGAACATGAACATATCAGATCT